TTGGAAGAGACTATTTTCTCAAATTCCACTGACACCCTTAAATTATGCTAAGGTTAAACTTGATCAGTTTTAAAGAATGCAAAGTACTCTTTAAGTTCCAAACAATATTTCATATCCTCAGAAACAACAACAACACAAATAATATGCACCTGTGTTATGAATTATAAAGGTTTCTAAAAAGAAGAGACATTGGTGGTGTTCTGTGTCAGAAATGTCCAAAAAGAAAATAGCCGTTGCGTGCTAGTTGGATTAAATATGGCTTAATCTACTACTCCACCAGGCACTCACATCTTTTATTGTTTCTCATTTGTCCATCCATCCATCAGAGGGCCACACCTTAGCTCCAAGGCTGAGAACGCTCATTGAGAGAAAGCTCATATCAGCTGCTTCTATCATCCTTTCAGACATGATCAAGACTTCATGACAATAAATGAGAGTTGTAATTTTGATGGATTGTAGATTAGGAGTTGGACTTTTTATCTCAGATCTTTCTTCACCACAATAAACCGGAACAATTTCCTAACCCATCATCCAATCACTGATGAGTAAAACACCAACAAACTTGAACTGCACTTGCTGTAAAGAAATACTCTCCCATCTGGGGGGGAAGCTGTTTTTTTTTTTTTTGTTTTTTTTTTTTTTTTCCGGTTGAGAACAATGACCTCGTGCAACTGCTCAAATGGAGATTAAAGGTCATTGTTTGAAGACACACACAAAGCATGAAATCATCGGCAAAAAGCAAAGATCAAATATTGAGGCTCCCAGTCTTACACCCTCCTGTCAATGACAACTACATTTAATTTCAGAGTCTAGTCTAACATTCACACAAAAAAGCCCACGCCCACAGCACACACTGTAACTATATTGTTTATTACTGTTTAAACCTGGTTTAAACATAGTTTATTTAACTTATTAGTAAAATAAGTTGTTTTTCATCTTGTTCTCTAATGCCAATCTATACAAGACACTTTTGACCTGTAACAGCAGATGTTGTTACGGTTAATATAGCAAAAATGCAAGTAATTTGTTTTTTGTAAGTAATAGATTTTAGAATCAGATAAGGTACTCAGCAATTTATCAGTTTGCAACAGGACACATTACTGAATTTAAACAGTATCTTAAATTGAAAAACAGTCATATTGTAAGACAAAATGTCTATGAGAACAAAAAAAACACAATTATAAGTTGTTTAAATCAATTTAAACAGTCACTAAGTTGGCTTACAAGTGAAAAAGAATGTGAAAATTTTGACCTTTAACACTAAATATGTGTGCAGTTTTCTAACATTGCAAAGTTGACAAACTCACACAGACTTCTGTACTAAATAACAAAAACGAACAATTAAATATAAATCGTGGAAGAATACTGCAAATTTAGGGAATTAAAAATAAAAAAATGAAAAACAGTAAGGTAAAGTCCAAAGCTTTCACAGAAAAGAAAAGGGAAGCCTCTATATTTCTGTTGTATGTTAAATTAAAATACATTGTCTCTTAGCCATCCAAGATTTTTTTTTAACTGGAATTCTTAATCATCCCAAAAGGATAATTTGCCTTTTGCACTTTTTATTTGTCAAAAATATTTATGTGTCTTGTTTGATTGCTTTTTTCTTAATTGTAAGGGATCAAGATTTGCAAAAATAAGGGATATAACTGTCTTATTGCAACCTTTTCCTCACTGTTCCGTCCTGGAAACAAGTTAATGGGAACAATCAAATGTCAACCAAGAAGGTTGAGTCGATATTTCATAGAAAAAAAAAACTTAGTCAATCCTATGATTGTTTTCATTATGAGCACACAGAAAGTGGCCCTAAGTGATGGCTGCTGTGGAGATGGCCCTGTAGTGTGGAAAAATCCTTTAATAGAATATGGCGACAACATTTCAGATCAGTTCAACATAAGAAAATAGGAAAAAATATAGAAAACATATTACAATAACATCACAAACAACAATCTTTTGGCATAGAAAATGCAGGGTAGTAAAGTCTTCACATGTGAATTTATCAGTCGAACAACAGTGCACCGATTCGTTCTGTATCTCCTCCCTGGTGGTAAAAATTTAAACAAGGCCCAAAGTGAATGGCTGGCATCAGCACTGATCACTAAGATTGTCAAGAGAGATGCCAGCAATTTTCATATAATTTTTAGGAATACTTGGCAAGCAATTCATATTCCTGACTGAAAGTGACCCATGCCAATCAATAAGAGAGAGTAATGATTGGCATACCCATGATTGGCATAGAAAGTGGTCCCATCACTTTCTGTGTGCTCCTAATGAAAGTTATGTTTACTACGACAAATCCAAAACACTTACATCGCACAAATAAAATGGGAACTCATTTTCACGCAAAACAGCAGCTTCGGGAAGAACGAGAACACAAAAGGAAAGCAAAACAGCAAATCAAGTAAATGGAAGGATCTGGCAAGTAATTAATTTAGTTTTTAACTTCTCAGGAGGTATTCAGAGACATTCAGTAACTGAGTACAGTGATCAGATTCAGAATAATATACAGCAGGAAGGTGACAAGAACTGGAAACTTGGGAGAATCAACGAGTGTCCAGGGAACTAAACAGAATAAAAAATAATCTATTAAATTTAGGTTAAGGACCTAAACCAGTGCTTTAACAACTGATAACAAAGAATAAACTAAAAAAAGCAAATAATCTTTATAACATTGTGACAAAACTTAATAATGATTACAATCCAAAATAATTAAAACACAAAACCATACATAGATCTCAGATGATGATCGATAATGCATCTAACAATTCACTGATTCAGTGAATTATCTAACCTGCTTTTGAATGAACCCTACAGCATTTTTACTCATGTCTGATCTTGCTCATTGTGGAAATTAATGTTCATCACCAACTGAACATCTCCCTCATTATCTGTGTTCTCACTGATTTGGCGTCCAGTAGTCTACAGGAAATGTGTGCACCTGCTTCCCGTTTTGCTCACAGTGAAATTTGTCATATAGTTACGCAAGACGTTAGGGGCTTTCCCACGCTGAATATTTTACAGTTTCAATGCATATTCCAACAGCAAAAGTGTTTGAAAGTTCTGTTGCATGTTGCAAGTCTCAGTCTACCGCAGTACAATTGATACTCTTTTTTCACAACAAAAAACCTCAAGGAACGAAACCATTTCAGTCAATTTTAAGTCGATAAAATTCAGGCAGAAATATATTTTTTGGCATTTTATGACAGGTTCAGGTTAACAGTTAAATACATTTTAATCCAATCAGAGGAGCTCCTGAAGTAAGGAAGAACTATGACTGGAAGAAAACAGAGGTTTAAAGACCTGAGGTACACAAAGCAGTTACGATGTCAGTTATTAGCTTGTCTATAGTTTGTGCACTCTGAGATGTAAAGCAAGAAAAGTTTCACTGATGGAACGCCTTTCACAGATAAGTCACAATATACTTTACCATAAAAGAGTCATTTGTGCAACAAAAAATGAAACAAGCACAAAAAAATCCTAAGTCAGAACTTCATTAAGAGTTGATATGAAAAATAAGGTACGTTCATTCAGCTAAAAGAATGTACAACCATCCCATGTTTTGACACAATATTTCCTCATTACAAATTATTTGATACTTCTCACCATTTTGTAGATTTTATAATAACCAGAGCAAAACTTGCAAAGGTAGGAAGTAAGTTGTAAGGAGAGTTCAAAAACCATATTTACATGCGGAGTCTTGTTCCACAAAGCTGTTAAGTTGCACATATTAAAACATCAAGTTAAGTTGCATGTCATTACGTCACATTTTGTACTCAGAGCATCTCACTGCTTGCCATGTACCAGGAAGGAATGTTGCCATGCCCTTTGCTTTTAGCCTAACCCTAAATGCTTAATCTAACAATAATACCAACCAAAAGCTGTAAATCCATTCAAATGTGCCACAAATGGAGGAGTGTCCGATGCTATGTGAGGTAATAAATCCATGCTGTTTTTATCATAGTCAGTAACATTTCTAATGATATCTCAGTCGTATAAGCTTAAGTCAAAGGGACGTTTTGAGGATAAAAACCTTATAAAGAAAATAAAACGGAGACCTGAAGGGCTTCATAAAATGATTCTCAGTCAGTGTTTTCTTTTTTTCCATCTAAATGTAAATTTTATTTCAGTGAATTGAAGATTGTGTCCTTTTCATCCAGGTGAAGATCTTGATATGACTGTGAGTGGTGTAAAGATTGCCTCAAAGTTGCTTTTAGAAGTTGTTTTTCCTCTGAAATGTCAAAGTTGTATTCCTATTTTATAACCACTCAAATTCACTGTGTGTGCATGTGTTGTATGTGTGTGTCATAGGATTACTAAAAGTCCTTGAGAGCATCTGTGCCTTTTGGAGATTACTGACATTTTCACCATTAAAATGCTGGCTCACCATAAAAAAGGTGATTATAGAGGGCCTTTTCATTAAGGACCTAAATGTCTGCTGTTGTTTAGGGGGATTGGCAAGCGGGTAGGATTAGGCAGCATCAATAAAATCCAAGACATGGAAGCGGCACAAGCCACGTGAACGCTCTGTCCACATTATAAACAACACTTCCCTATTTACTTCCATATTTGAGTCAATGATTGATAAGGCTATTTGATGTTGTATATTTAAATAAGCAAATGTTAACAGTCGCTTCTATCAGCAGTCGCTTCTATCAGCAATGTAGGTCACCACTGTCAGCATGTGAATGTACGCATGAATGGGTAAATAACAGTGTAAAACCCTTTGGGGTCCTCTGAACTTGATAAAGTAGAGACCATTTACTACTTCCCATAACGATACCTGTCCTGACAAGAAAACAGGGTGCCGTCAAGGACATTTGGTGATCCTTAAAGATCCTTACACTATTTGACTTGAAAAATTAAAACAGGCTCCATTTTTCATAATGTTGGACTTTAGCAAAATTATTAGTCATTGTCAATAGGTGTTCAATCATTTAGATGACTGCATGAGCCTACTGACTTTGTGACTGTGTTCTGGCATTTACAGTTGCAAACACATCATTGCAGGTCAGGTTTATTGATAGTTAAAAACAATTGTTTCAGTAAAAAAAAAAAATCATAAGAACAGTTTGCTGAAGAGAATTGGCAAACAAACGAGATCAGTGAAACAAAAATACAGAAAAGGCTCTAATGTTCCCAAAAATATAATTAGTTTATAAGACAACTGGTAAAAAAAATTCTTAACTAACTTCAAAAGAGCTGCAGCAGGACTTGATAGCAACAACCACTGAGATTTTAATCAGCACAGTGCTACACATAATATGAAAAGGTCAAAGGTTGAATGCCTGAACTGTAGGATGCGTACTACTACTCCCCAAAGAACTCAAGAGCTGAATATAAAATGCACTAGTATTAATTTAGAGAAAAAAAAAAAAAAAAAAAAAAACACTGGTAATATTAGTTTGTCTTAAGATATTTGTGTTCTGTAATTTGCAGTGGGTGTGAATAATTTTGATTCCAACTATGTGGTTTGAGTTATTACTGTGTTTTTAATTAGCTCTTTGTTTCTTTACAGCTTCTTTTGTTTAGCTGTAATTTCACTGATCCCAATTTCCTTCCGTCTTCTTGTCTTTTTTTATGTTTACAGACTAACTTCACATGACTTTACCACATCTGCTTCCTGTTGGTTATTGGGTGTAACACCACAAGGGCAGTTAACTATGGTTACACTAGAAGTAAGTTATTAATGATGCACAGAGAAAATGTAACATTTAAACAGATAAAAATATTCAACATTCACTTCCCCCCAAAAAATTAATGCCAAGTTAAACATGAAAATCTGATAAATATTTCAATGAGATGAGTCTGAGGACCTATTTTTTAAATATATTTCTATACATAACCGTTTCTCTAACTTCAGGCCAAGCGTAAACGTGGATTATATTTTTAAAGGAATTTGTTATGGGTGGGTGCTTCATGTCCAAACAACATTTTTTTTAGATCTGACAAAGAAAAGAAGTTACAGTGCTCTGCAAAGATGACTGTGTTGAGGTGTGAGAACATCTTGAACACACCACCCAGTAGGACTAAAGAAGTCCCTAGAGCGAAACAGCTTTTCAAAACACTGCAGGAAGTGACCAAAAGTATCCGTAATGTGGGTTTAGTCATCAGCAGCAGTGTCTTTATTGCACCACCGTATATATATTTTAGTCTTGATCACAGCAAATGTCTCTGATGCTTTTATCTCTCTGCTGCATCCCTTCTGGTCGTGTAGAAATCTTGAGATCTACACCATGTGATGCCTGGTTTTGCACTGACATCATGTTGCTTTCTTGCATGTTGTCTCTTCCATCTGATGCACAGCTTCAGATGAGTCACCCAAGCTGTAGTTCAGTTTCTCTTCACTTTGAATCAACTTCTCCAAATCTAAGAAAAAAAAAAGGCTATCAGACAAAGATCTCTACCAAAGTATGCAATATTATGCAGCCATCTATGTTCCTTACTTTTCTGACAACAAACAACAAATGGGTGAATGTAATTCAACTCCAAGCAGACTCAATGTTTATTGTAACACGTCATATGCCATAAAAAGTTTGTTTTCACTAATGTAATTTGACAAAACTCTGACAAAACTCCTACACGTCTGAAGGTTACTTATCAAGGCCATTTCAATTTTGATATTCAAAGTAAAGGGGGCTTGTAGAGGGCCTTGTTGGCTGTCGACATGGCCCTCAACAACTATCTTAATTTGTGTACTTACAACTTTGTACGGTCTTATTGACAACATTGAAACCATAGTCAGGATTCCTGCTCAGGTCAATGTAGTAGTAGAACCTCAGTTCCTGTGGGTACTGAGAGTGGGCCAAGTCAAGAAGAAGGGGTATCATCGTGTTGGACATGGGTCTCTCTGCCAGGGTCTGGTGCATCATGTAACTGCACCAATCATCCTGCACAAAGCTGGGAGTGATGAGCAGAGCCCGAAGGTGGCTGTTTTCCAGGGCCTTGCAAAACTCTGTGGATATAGCACTTCCTGGACATGAGTCCCTGTGCCATAGGAAGCACCTGAGGCTGCGGGGTGGGGTCTCGAGGAACGAAACCAGGCGTTTGGCCTCCTCAGTGTCTTTCTCGGCAAAGCTGTGGCACACAAACACATCATATTTCCGTTTCCATCTCAGCTCTGAACTCAGAGCAGTATTTAACTGCTGTGGTTTTGCAACGGATGTTTCTTCTGATGATGCAGATGACGGTGATTTAGATTCGCAGCTAGCAGCCCCTGCTGGTTTTTCGCCTGTTTTGCTGTTCTTGTTTTGCCTTCCAGATTTAAAAAGTTTTAGGAACCACCCTGAAAAAAAAAGCATAAAAAAAACGCATTTAGGACTTGGTCACTTATATTCATCTATGTTAATCTTGAAGGGGAAATACATTTCCTCTTGAGAAGGAAATACAACTAAGAAGCAAAATTGGACTAAATAAAAAATGTTGCATAAGTGCATCATAGACCCTTTTCCCGATATATATATATATATATATAT